AACTACCTGCTCATACTAAGAATGGTTGAATAAGAGCAAATTCCTATGCTCCAGGCACTCCTGTCTCCCTTTTCTTCTTCTCCCTATCTGCAAGAACTTACCTCTCTGGACCTTATGTTGCCTTCTGAAAAGCAGAGGCATCAGCTCCTCTATTTCCTCAAGGAATGGTAGTGACAAGCTATTAAGGCATACATGCAACTGGGGGTGTCCTCCCCAGTAGCCATGGGGTAAGTCTCAGGTTCTCACTGATACACTCATTATCTGAGTTCGATCCTGGCCAGGGAGACCTCTCCTGCTTCACCCGCTGCTCCCCTCCGCAGTGTACTTTGTCAATCTGCCTCTTCTGCTCCATACTCTGTCTCTGGTGAATTCCCTCACCTCCCGTACCTCTGGCCTACACCCTAGTTCTTCTATGCATAAATAAATCTTTTTTTTTTTTAAGGCCACAAATATACATACAAGGATTAACAGCTTAAAATAATCCACTGTTACATTGTGAAAATAAAGTCAGAGAACTAAACCCTTGCTTTCAGGAGACAGGAGGGTAAAGAACCAAACCAATCGCCAGCAAGCCCTGAAAGGGAACATTTCTAGACTCTGGCTGGAGCTCACAAAGACTTGCTACATTTTTTTTAAAAAAGATTTATTTATTTATTCGTACAGAACTGGGGTACAGGCCAGAGATGCGGAGGGTGAGAGGATTCACCAGAGACAGAGCGGGGAGCAGAACAGGCAGATCGATGAAGTACACTGCTGAGGGGAGCAGCGGGCGGGTCAGGAGAGGTCTGCCTCGCCATGTGGTCACCTCTGGGGCTGGTGGGAATCGAACTCATGCAGCAGTGGCTTTAGTTTCTTAGTGCAGTGCTTTAACCAGCTGCACCACCAGGGAGGGCCCCGACTTACTACATTTTTTAAGTGGTACAACCCTGTCTGCCTCCTCTGCTGCAGGTAGGCAGTTTTGGGGTCCCCTACCTTGGCCTCCCCCAAGGAGGAGAGCAAGGCTTCCCACTAGCAACTTATACAAGTTGTCAAGAGTACAGGTGCAGGAGGGCTGGGGAACTTTATCAAATCTCACCTGCAGCTGCCAACCAAGTTACAAGATCAAACACAAAGGGTCTAACAAGTCCTGGGACGAGAGGCGGGTATTCATATACAAAAACACTATTTGGAGGGAACAAGGGCTGAAGTTTAATTTGACATACGCTATGCATTTGAATAAGCCAGGAACCACTGTTCTGATGCACTTAGGTGAATAGTTCTCTCTCTTTAAAACTGTCTGGAAATACAGTATCAACTGGGAAGCAGCAAAGGCACAGTGGCTATAAAAGCCCAGTGTTTGGAGCCAGACTGCCTGGGTCCAAATACTGGTTTGGCTACTTCTCCCTGGCTACGTAATCTGGGGCAAGTAATTAGCCTCTTGTGTGCCTCAGTTTTCCCATCTGTAAAAGGGAGATAATAATACTATCTACCTCACAGGTCCAGTGTGAGGATCAAGTGGATTGACATGTCAAGTGCACAGTGGAGCCATAATAAGCTCTTCACCACATTAACTGATCATTATGTCCAGTGATACAGAGCCACAGCAATCATTCATCCCGAATTTATGGGGTGAACCTGATACTTTGAGGGGGCCATCAGATTTGTGTCCTGAGTCTGGTTTGGGAATCGTTGTCATTACCCTGACGACACTCCAAACCTCATGGGAAGGCATACACTGACACTGGGGCCAGAATCTCAGAGCTTATTAATAGTCCTACTGGGGCCATGATTTCTTGCAGGATCTTGACTCGTAAGCTACTAACTAGTACTTGTAAGTCATTAATTACTAGTTAATGTAGATGGTAGCTGGATACAGTTGCTAGTGAGCTTCCTTTCAAGGTGTAGTACTATGTCTCCATGGGGAGTCTGCTGAACAGAAAACTCCAGTGCCTTAGGTGTCCCTGGGCTGAGTTAGAGCCTGGTCAACACCACGATGTCGCAGTATCAGCTCAGGATGGGGAGTGCAGAGCACAGCAACCTTTTAGGTATTCACATTGAAAAAAAAAAAAAAGTTCAGGCCCTCCCTGGTGGTGCAGCAGGTTAAAGGACAGCACTACAGCTGAGCTGCAGCCACTTCAGAGTGAGTTCGATCCACAGCCCTGGGAGTGATCCACATGGCGAGGCAGACAGACCTCTCCTGACCCGCCTGCTGCTCCCCTCAGTCTGCCTGTTTTGCTCTCCACTCTGTCTCTTATGAATCCCCTCACCTCCCTTGCACACCTTGCCTGTACCCCAGTTCTGTATGCATAATAGTTAAAAAAAAAAAAAAAAGACAGGACCTCCCTGGTGGCACAGTGGGTTAAAGCCCAACACTGCAAGCTAGCGGCAGCTGCTTCAGTGCGAGTTTGATCCCTCGCCCTGGAGGTGACCCACATGGCGTGGCAGCTCTCTCCTGTTTCTCCCACTGCTCCCCTCAGCAGTGTACTTTGTCGATCTGCCTGTTCTGCTCCCCACTCTGTCTCTGATGAAGCCTCTCACTGCCCTTGCTCTGCATGCATAAATAAATAAATCTTAAAAGAAAAAAAACAAAAAACAACTGATCTTACTAGTCTAAGCCTCATAGGGAAACCAGGGCAGAAGTGGAGGGCCCTTTGAGGGAGGACTATCTGCTGGCCCTCCCTGCTGGTAGCAAAGAACTACTGAGTCAAGATGAAGAACTATAGGGTGGACACTTTAAATAAGTGGGTGCAGCCCCCACCAGGACTGAAGATGGGGATCTGCCTTTCCTCCTCACTGGCAGAGCCCTGAGCCCAACAGCAGGGAGGGGTACAGCTGCAGGTATCCAAGGCAGCTGCCCAGCCCCCAAGCATACTGGGATCCCAGCAGAGCAGTGCATGAAGTCAAGAGCGCTGGCACAGCAGTGAGGCTGCTGCATGTGACTGCAGTGTCTGGGGCTGCAGCAGTAGCTGGAGGACACAGCCAGGCTCTCAGCGGTCACACTTGCTATTGTCCAGGAGGCAGGGTAAAGAGAGCCTCAGATGAGAGAAGAATGATACCGCCTCTCACCGTGTACCCAATGGGAACTCACCTCCCATTGTTTCTGACCGCTTCCCTTGCCATTGGGATTCCAGCAGACTGGGTTTCTGCGCAGAAAGACTGGTACACGTCAGGTGCATCATCCTCCAGCTTTTGGATGCTGTAATGCCCTGCAATGAGGAAAGCTGCTGGCAAAAGTCACAAGCAAGTGCAGGCCACGCTCCTTTGTTCTGCTTCTCACAAAGGGTTGGAGCAGGGCGTGGACTGAGCTCAGCACATTTCCTTCCTCTTTTCTGAGGCCACTGAGACACTGCTGCAGAGGAGGGGGTGGGGTTCTCTGCTTCATTCTGATAGAGCCCAAATGCAGCTGGGTCTGAAACTCCTTTTCCTAATACATATTTCACATTTCACAGCACAGAGGCAGAGCTGAAGTGAGGAAACGGGAAGGGGCAGTAGGGGAAGATGAGCATGAGTGCGGTGCAGCACCTGTGGCCAGACACCCCTTCCAGGCCATGCAGGAAAATGTCGCTGATGATCCTGCTATCTGCCCCTGCAGTTTTTTTGTTTTGTTTTAGTTTTGTGTTTTTATTATTCCAATGATGAAACTATTCTCAGTCCTCGTGCTCTTTCCCAAGATAAATGCACGTACGCATGTGTGTAATTATTTGAGAATTTGTAAACTAGTGTTTTACTCATATGAGGGAGGGTTAGAGTAAGGTATCTTCCCCTTGAATTTGGTAACAAGGTCAGAAAAAGTCATTCTCTGAAACTGAATCCATCAAAATCAATAAAGAACAGATGCTTTAACTACTTGCCAAATAATTCAAATTAAGATGCAATTTATAAATGGAGATACAGGGCCTAGGGTGCTTTGTGGGACACCCCATTGGAAGTGATTTCTAAATGGAAAATTCCTCAGTCTAATCAATGTGATCAATTAAGATCTGTCCTGAAAACTGGGATGCATTTGATGCAAAGAAAATTGTAAGTTAAGTCAATCACCCAATTACTTTAATATGATTATCTGAAGTGGGTTGTACAGAATCTTTTCAAGAAAGGTCAAGAAACAATAGTGTTTCACCTATATCTAGTTGGTCCAGAGGAGATTCTTCTCTGATTAGAAAGCCCAATCCTGACTTTCCAGACATACCTGCTTTGAGGAATTAGCTACTTTGGCTCAATGGAAACGTCCCTTAAAGACATCTGCCTTTGTTCTAATTCTTTCTTCCTTAGGCAGTTATGATCCATAACTGTCTGTACACTGGCATCCTAAAGGGATGCCCACCACAAAATTCTGAACTAAAACTGTGTTGGTATTCCAATAAGAAAAATGTCTTATACAACTGGCAAGTGGGCAGGCTGAGTGTAGATCCTTCAGTTACTTAAGAGTCAGGGGAAACTGTTTTGGTCCCCCTGGTCCTGGTCCCCCTGGATAGTAGGAATACAATTCTCTCATCAATTCTGTACCTAAACTCCAAAGCTGAGGACTGACCAGGCACAGCCTGGTCAAGGTGCTGACAAACAAGGAGGGCTTGTCTGAACCAGGCAGCCATTTTCTCCTTTTGGTCTTTTCTTTCAGCTGCAAACAAAATCCAGTGGCAAATAAGTATCTAAGTAGATGAAGAGGAATCCACCATGCTGTGGTGTAACCAGGCCCCGGCTCATGGGCCTACAGCACACTTTGCAACAGATGTAGTACTAGCCCATGAGCAAGCATTCACCTTTCCAGATGAGTAGAGGGCTGAGTGCAGGAGACAGAAACTCCCACTGCGATGCTTGTGGCTCTTTTCTTCCAATAATCAAGGCAACTCTCTGCAAACAGTTGCAGAAGGAACAAAAGAGACTCAGGAGAATGAACACAGGGCTTACACTTTTTCTGGAAGATGCAACCAGTTCGATTCTCTTTTCTGGAGATCTAAGCCTCTTCTACACCACAGCTTTCCATCTCAATAGCAGGGCGCCAGAGTCAGACCTGTGCTTTGTTCCAGCCAAGATAATTTTATTCCACTTTGCATGTTTTGATAACAATTTCCTTACCATTCCTACTACCATACTCTGAAATGCCTTTGAATAGCTAAGGGTGACAAATTCTGGCTATTTGTCATTTATCACAAGGAAGAAGAATCTCACCACAAAAGACTATTAAGATATGTAACATATGGATGGCCAATCTCTTTTCAAGTCATAAGAGAAGGAACAATTAATCATATTCCATCAGTTGTATTAAAAATATACTCCTATCAGGTAAATGTCTATTGTTAAAGGCTACAGGTTGTGAAAAACATGTAGATTAATGAGATCTGTCATCTTTTTCCTTTAATGGCACAAGCTTTGGTCTGGATGCAGGATGCTAAAGAGATGCTTTAGGAAGACTAAAATAAAGACATAAAAACCATCCATGAAGCCACCTCCCAGGTCAGCCATATTGCCAGCACCAAGATGCAGTAGGGCCACTTGCTGAGAGGTATGGGCACTGCTCTAGCTGCTTGGTCCTCAGCCTCCAGGAAGTCTTTTGGGCCTTGTCTATGGCAGGACCACGATCTTTTTCTCAAGCTTTTGTGGCGGGAACAAGAAGTTTCTCATGATCTCGTCCAGCTCTTCCAGGGCCAGCTGGGCATGGAGCTTGGCCACAGCATCAGGCTCCAAATTCACCACATACTTCAGCAGGTGGTAGAGATCCTTGAGAACATCCCTCAACACCTGCAGGAGACAGACAGTCATGACCACATGCATGTACTCTGTCAGCATTTCTCAGTGCCACCCAATTGCTTTCTCTTATCTGAGGAGTTCTGTGAGGAGACACACAAGCTCTCTTAAGAAGATCATGTGGGCCCTCCCCCAGCGGGTTAAAGCACAGCACTAAGATGCTAAAGCCACTTCAGCACAAGTTCAATCCTAGCCCCAGAGGTGACCCACATGGTGCGGCAGACCTCTCCTGACCCACCTGCTGCTCCCCTTAGCAGTGTACTTCGTCGATCTGCCTGTTCTGCTCCCCACTCTGCCTCTGGTGAATCCTCTCACCACCCCGGTACCCCTGGCCTGTACCCCAGTTCTGTATGCATACATAAATAAATCTTTAAAAAAAGAAGAAGATAATGTATGGGGGGCCTCCCTGGTGGAACAACAGGTTAAGTTTTAGCACTGCAAAGCTGTCCTCAGTCACTATAGCATGGAATCGATCCTCACCCAGGGAACTGACCCACATGGTGCAGCAGACCTCTCCTGTCTCACCTGCTACTCCCCTCAGCAGTGTATTTCAATAGATATGCCTGTTCTACTCCCCACTGTCTGAATCCTTTCACCCCACCATCCTCTCCACTTCTGGCCTATACCCCAGCTCTTGTATGCATAAACAAATCTTTAAAAAAAAATTTCTCACTACTTTGAAGTGTAGGCTGTATATTAAAGCCTATGGCAGTGTATAATTTCAAACAAGGAGAAGATCAGCAAAAAGAGAAATAGGAGAATGCAGACATTCATCTATTCTTACATTTTTATGACTTTGCATAAAAGCCATGTAATACGTATATATAATAGCCTATCTTCTATAAACATGGGCTGTCTGCAAAAATTCAATAAAAAAAATAGTTGCCTTGGGGAGAGGAAAGCTGGGGAGGGATGAGGGAATTATATACTCTTGAATCTTTCTAACATGGATTTTATGAATATATTACCTACTTAAAAATACTTTTTATTTAACTCAGTTAACCACGAGACAAAGCTTTTTCTTAAGGCCATTTAACAGCTAAAACAGATACAGAGTCTGCCCTTAAAAGGCTTACAAGTAAGACATGCATATAAAGGCAATACAGAACAGAGCATGAAGTGTCCTACAAGAGCAGAGAAGGTTGGTGAGCGGTCAGAGGAAAGAGGTCACATTGAAAAACAGAGGCAGACTAGAGTAGGTAATCAGAAATGATGGGAAATGGCTGATACAGTGGGCATCAAGCATGGTCTGGGCCCAAGGCCCCTGGGCATACCACGAAAGTACACATAGCAATACCACACCATGCATCTTGGACTTGCTAAAGATACTGCCTTTTGACATTCTTGATGAACAGGGGCGTTGGGGCATTGGGGCGTTGGGGGGGGGGAGGTAGGGAAAAAGGAGTGCACAAAACAAAACACACAGGCTGCTTTCGTGTGTCTCCTGGAGTCTCTTGTGCTGGGGTTAGGTGGGCCTTCTTTCTTTCCTTATGTGAGTAAAGCTGCTTCCCAGCTCCAAGTTTTGCATAAGCCTGTCCCTCAGACTGGAAGACCATTTTGCTTTCTCTTTATCCTACAACTCCTACTCACCCTCAACCTAAATGACACTGCCTCAGGGAACTCTTTCCTGACCCAAGCTAGGGAAGTATTCCTACCCTACCTGTAGTTCTCTTTGTAACCCTGATCACAGTTGCGATTTAAATGTACATGTTGTGTAATTCGAAAAAATATTTCCCTCACTAGATCATAAGGCCATGTCTTGCCTTGTAAACTGCTCTGGAGTAGTTCTAGTGCCTCACAGAATGATGCACAATACAGATAACTCACATATTTATGTGTGAAAGAAGGCAGGCATGCATGCTACTCCTGGCTAGTGTATCACTAGATAAAAACTGAAAATTCTAACAAGAGCATGTATTGAAACAATGCCGGACAACCAGGCTCAACTTCATGGGCGTGTGACCTGGACACTCACACAGGGTCCTTTAATCAAGAGAGTCCTGTGCTTGGTTTAACATTCTGTGTTATCATCTAAAAGTTCTGGGCCCTCCCTGGTGGTACAGTAGTGCACTGTGAAGCGAAGTCAAATCAAGCCATGGTCACTTCAGTGCGAGTTCGATCCCTGCCCCGGAGCTGACCCACACGACACAGCAGACCTCTCCTGTCTCGCCCGCTGCTCCCCTCAGCAGGGTACTCATCAAAATGCCTGTTCTGCTCTCTGTTTCTGGTCAATCTTCTCACTGCCCCTGTACCTCTGGTACCCCATTTCTATATGCACAAATAAAATCTTTTAAAAAAAAGTTCTTAGTAATTTTATTTCTGAGCTTGTGTTTTGTAAGCGAAGTCCAATGAAACAAAGGAACATGCATGAGTGTGAGAGGTGAGTTAGGCCCAGCATGTGGGCACCTGTGTATGGCGTTCACCATGGCCTGTGAACACAGAATTCGGATGGATCCACAATGTGTGGGTGGGAGTTCAGTCAGACTCAAAGCCAGCACATGGGAAGCACCTAATGCTATATTTACCACGGAACAAATGGGAGGCAGTAACAGCCCAGAAAGGCCACACCCTCCCCTAGAACCACACCTTACATCAAATACAGAAAGAAGGCAATGAATGGCTTTCTGAGAAACATGGATGAATAAGGAGCGCTAACATATCCTTCATGTTATTCCCTATTTTAACCAACTATTTACACTAAAAATGATGACACAGAAGGAAAAAGGTCAATATGTGGTAAATAATTCTTTTTCCTTTCAGCCCATTCTGATTTCTCACAAAACAGAAGACAGTCTTAATAGAATGTCCACATATGCAGAAGTAAAATAACAGCAGCAGTGGTTTTGTGCATTTTCTACTGCTCTGCTATGAAGGAAATCCATGTGCTTGTTGGTAAAAGCTATGGAGTATAAGTTCTGTGGTTCTGGCAATTCCACATATGAATGTGCTCTTAAAATTGGCACTGCAGATGTAAAGATGATCAGTGCAATCCAAGGTAAGAATTTAACCTTTAATATGTTCTTTAAACAACAGTAAGAGCAAATAAACACCAGGAGAGATGGTGGATGAAAAAAACAAACTTTGGAGATCATTAGCATCACTTTTTTTTAAATTTTGTTTTAAACAATAAAGGTGTATGTTCATTCTACACTGGACCCCACGTACTAAACAGCCAACCCTGTAGACAACTTCCATAGTCCTTGTCCAAGGCCACCCTGTTAAGCAACTGGATTCTGTGAGCACACCCAACAGTGACGATGCTGTACGCGTCTCCTCTGAGACAGTAGAAGCAGTTGGGCTTCCGAGCTCAAGTGTCCGAGCCTAACTGTAGCCCTGTTCGCACATTCCCTTCATAACCTGCCTTGCCCCGAGGCTGGCTGTGTGAAAATGAAAGATGATTCCAGAATCATGATTACCATCTATACTTACTCACTTGTTCAATAATCATTATTAAGGGCCTTCTTCGTGCCCAGGCAGTGTGCTGGTGATAAAAGGATGAATAATATACAAACCCTTCCCTCCGGCAGCTACAGCCTACCTGGGAGGATGACTCACACACTGGACAGTGTGATCGACAACCTAAGAGGGAAACGTGTGGATTCTGTGGGAGCAGAGGAAGTGATTTCTGTCTATGCAGGTGGGTGGGGGAAGGACATCTCCCTACTGCATGGAAGCGGCTTCATTCTGATTTTTACTTGTAGTCACTCAGTAGCACTGAAAAATGATTTGGGGAAACTCTAGTGAGTCCCCTCACCCACAAACCATCCCATATAACGGTAGAGTCTAAGCAGACCTGGTGTGCTTGCTAGGGGAGACAGCTTAAAGACAAGAGTCCCAACCCTCTCCAGGGGGTTACAGCTCAGCACATCTCTTCTATAAAATTCTAGTTTCCTAGAGAACATCCTTTTTCAGTTTCTTCTAGAAGAATCTTTAGTCAGAAATACCTTAGCTTTTTTGCTAGTGTCTGCTAACATTCAAAATAGGTTGGCTTTCACTTGATCAGGGAAATTCTAAGGCATTCTGTGTTGTTAAGGTACTCTGTTCTTTCTTGCTGTGGGTAGGAAATTCCCCCTTGGCAGTACAGTGTCCTTAAAGTAACCCATAATGCTTGTGCAAACACCGCTTCGTACTTCAGGGGTGCTGAGTTCCTAGTTATCAACTACCGGATCCCCCTTTTTAGGTAACTGGGTGTTAGGCCAAGGCTCCTTCTTAATTAATGGGTCTATCTTAGCAACCCACCTTGGTATGGCTTCTTCCCAATCCCTATAACACTGGGGATCCCACACATCACAGGACTTCCTCTGGACTCCCCAAGGATCAAAGCTTCCTGCCAGGCAGGGATTGTCACCAAATCCCATGGATCAGGGGCTGAATCCAAGGAGAGTTCAAAGGTAAAGTTACTCACAGGAGCCTCTGCAGGATATAGGCAATCCCACCGAGGAAACCTCTCATTAAGAGTTCAGCACACCTGCTCTCCACCCCCCCATGCATCAAGGCCCAAGGACTCCAGGGAAAGGTGGAGGGGTACAGGTGTGAGTGTGTCTCATCCAGAGGAGACCTGGTTTTATTTTTTTGCAGCAGGTGTTGAAAAAAACATTTTCACCATCTGAGAAACCTGTAGGCCATGGATAGCTTAAAGAAGTACCCAGATTCCTAGCTTGAAATTCTTTAGAAAGGGGTGGAGCTCAGGTGTCTTATTGAAAGAATTTAGAGTTGCTAACACACACACACACACACACACACATCCTCTCCCCTGCTGCCAGCTCCCTGAAACACACAAAAGTTGATGCTTCAGGGACAAGGGCCATCTCTAGGGTTAGCCATGGCTTAGAAAGACCAATGAGGCAAAAACACTCTGAAAAGGGAGCGGAGGGAGCCAGAGACTGCTCTTGGCACACAGGTGCACTCACAATGGGAAAGCAGGAAAACAGTCTTTCAATGCCTTGGACCAGGCATTTTGGATATTAAGATCAAAAGAAGATAGAAATGACCGG